GAGTTGCTTATTGGATAATAAGGCTACCTAAATCTTTTTTTAAAAAATTGTAATTGGCTCACAATGTTACATTGGTTTCAGGTGTACAACATAGTCTATATGTCATACTAAGTCAGATTCAACAAGTCTATATGTTATACTAAGCTCACCACAAGTGTAACTAACATTTGTCACCATACCATGCTATTACATTATCGTTGACTATATTCCTTATGGTGTATCTTTTATCCCCAGGATTTTTTCATGTCATAATTGGAAGCCTGCATCTCCCACTTCCCTTTACTCATTTGCCCATTCCCCTACTCCCCTCCCCTCTGGCAAACAATAGTTTGTTCTCTATAGGTCTATTTCTTCTTTTATTTATTTATTCATTTGTTTTTAGATTCCACCTATAAGTAAAATCATATGTTACTTATTTCACTTGGCATTATACCCTCTAGGTCCAACCATGTTGTCACAAATGCAAGAACTCATTCTTTTTAATGGCTGAGTAATATGATTATATATATATATATATATACACACACACACACTATTTTCCTGATCTATTCATCAGTTGATGGACACATGAGTTGCTTCCATATCTTAGGTATCGTAAGTAATGCTGCCATAAGTATAGGGGTACATATATCCTTTCAAATTAGTGTTTTCATCTTTTTGGGCAAATATCGAGTAGTGAAATTACTGGATCATATGGTATTTCTATTTTTAATTTTTTGAGGAACTTCCACAATGTTTTCCACAGTAGCTACACCAATTTACATTCCCATGAACAATATTGCACAAGGGTTCCCTTTTTTCCACATTCTCATCAACACTTGTTATTTCTTATCTTTTCACCTGTTAATTTTCATATAGCAACTATTCTCTCCTATTTTGTATCTTACAAAAGGCTTAAACAGCACTCCATTTGAGGTGTGTCCTGCTTCCCTTGTTCCTCATTTGAAATCATATTATTTTGTTACAGTGTATGAGTTTCTGACAGTGTGAGCATATGTAATATCAGAAGAGAGTCTGGAATCCTTATTGATTACTTTTAGAGCCTTACGAATGCACATATTCTAGAGCAGGTAAAAGAAAACTGTCTGGAAGTATCACAGCCTAGGGGAATACAGAGATGAGGAGAGACATTACAGACATTGCAATGCATAGAGAGACATGCAGATGTCAATGGAAGAGGCATTTTATAGTGGGCTACATGGGAAAATGCTAGAAAGATTTTTAAAAATGTTTCAAATCTAAATTATTTTTATATATTTCTTTGTTATATAAACTGAAATATTATTTTAAAAAACCTTGGCCAAGCTTCTAAATAACTGCATTACTTTGTCAGTCTCTGTTCACTAGGATAAATCATTTTGGGCTGCTTTAAAAGGGAAAATCTTTTTAGCTATTTTGTTTTAGCTTATGAATTCACAGGAGAGAAGTAATTCTTACAGCAAATCTTCAAAGATTCACTATAAGAAAAACAATTCTTTTCATCACACTTAATATTAAATATAACAGAACTGCAGGCAGAATAATACATTTTAACATTAAAATAAAATGAAGCACAACTTCTTTAGTCTGATTACTTCAGCATATGAAAACACTAAAGGCTCAAAAATAAATAATAATTAGTTAAAACTTGAAATGAGCAAAAAAATATGTGGAGAATTTATAGATAGATTTTCCTGTCATTTATATTACAGTGTTATCTCTGTCTTCAGATAAGCAAAAGAAATAGTCATATAAAAGAAGTTGTGAAAAATACAAGGCATAAGAACTTTGTTGTGATGGGTTTTGCAAGGTGAACAAGATCCTAATTCTTATTTATTCACATCAGAAACTGGACATTCTTTTATTCAATAAAGTATTCATTGAGCACCTGCTATGTACTTGACACTGTTTAAGCCCCTTGGCTTATAGCAGTGACACAGGGCAGTGGATAAAGTAAAGGAGGAAAGGAAGTTTGGAAGTGGCAACAAGTAGTGGCTTTGTGGTTTTACATGTGGGAATCAGAGAGGACCTCACTGAAAAGGTGGCAGTAAGCCATAGTCCTTTAGGACATGTGGGATTGAGCCATGAGCCTGGGGAAGGGCATTCCAGATAAAGTGAGTAACAGGTACAAATGTTTGTGATATTTAAGGAGCAAGAAGGAAGTTACTGAAGCTGGAGTGGAGTGATTGAGGGAGTCTGTGAAGATGGGGTTGGAGAGGTCACGGAGGCCAGGTTGGCAGGGCTTCATAGATCATTAATAAGTACTATGGCTTTCATTGTAAGTGATGTAAGGCCTCGCTCTCTGAAGGATATGAGAGAAGAATGACAAGATCTGACTTTTACTCTCAAAGGAATATTCTGACTCCTAGGTTAGGAAGAGATTAGAAAGAAATATAAGCAGAAGCAGGCAGATGTGTTAAGAAATTATGGCACTGATTCAGGTGGGGGATGATGGTGGCTTGAACCATTTATGGTAGTTGTGGTAGCAGTGAAGGTGCAAAGTTGTGGGATTCTGGATTTATTGTGAAAGCAGGGCTGACAGAATTTGCTGATAAATTGGTTGTAGTTTGTGAGAGATGTCAGAATGGTTCTAAGGACTTAAGTTGAGTAAATTGTAGGATAAAGGTGCTGTTTCCTGACATGAGAAAGATTGCAAAGGAAGCAGGTTTAGGAGGCAATAATCAGAAGTTTGATTTGGTGTAGCTTAGGTTGTGGTGCCTATTCAATTTCTACTAGAGTTGTTGAGTAATCGGTTACATACATGCCTCTGGATTTTAGGGAGAATTCCAAGCTGGAGTTATAAATATGGAAGAGAAAGACACGTAAGTGAAATTTCAAGCCACAGGGCTGGAAATAGAAGAGACAAGAGGTGTAGGAATGAATTCCAGGGCAATGCTAAGAGATTAGGGAGAAGAGAAGAACTGGCATTTAGACTGAGAAGTTAGACTGCAAGGAGTATTACTTCATTATTAATAACATTCTTTCAGAGGACATTGGCAATGTATAGGCTCTTGTGGCCCTAGATGGTTTTTTACCTTTGGTAGGATTTATCTGGTCATTTGCCATTTACCCTTCACTTGATCTAAATCTTGTATTTTTGCTCTTACTCACTTTCCCTCCTCCCTTTATGCTGCATCACTTTTGTTTTGAATATTCTTATTGTCAGCACAACTTCATCTTGCTATAAAATGCATTTTTGAAAACTGTCAAAAGTAATTTGGGGATTTATCTGGTGAATAAAATGGGTGATCAAATTGGTTAATACTGCTTTTGATCAAATATTAGGCATGACTATTGAGTAATATCACCAAGTTTACTGTGTGGTTTATATGCCAGATTGAAAAGCAATGCCAACAAGCGTGTTCTAAAACATTCTGAGCTATGACACTACTGGAATAAATACATAATTTTCAAGAGGACTATTTTCAACTAATAATCATATACAAATATAAGTTCTGTTAACTTGTTTGACATCATTTCTTAACATTCTTTTACTTTATTACATATATTTATACAGATTATTAAAGTCTATGAATATGTAGACAGCCATAAATAATATCTCATTGAGTCTTCATTTTCCAGACTAAGAATTTCTTAACAACTCCTATTCTCATTTAAGATGATAATCTTATCAAAAGCAACTAAAATAATTACTTTAGTTAGTAAAAGTTTTACAAAACACATCTAATAATATTTGTCCAGATATTACAAAAATTGTTGATTATGAGCACCATAGATCTATAAACAAGCATTCTTGGCTATCTGGCTAATACTAAGTTTGTAAAGGATGTATCCCCTGCAAATTATGCCAACTATTTGTCTACTGAACAGATATTGATTAAATTCTAGTATGTTCCAGATGCACGTCACAATGAAAAGAGTTTGCTTTTTTAAGTCTTTCCAAGCACATCATGAGAGACATATGTGTGTAAGGAATGGAGCCAAAATAGGGCTACTGACTTTCTATAGAGCAGTATCCTGGGAGTTTTGCCAAATGGAGGATCTGTTTTGAGTAGACTAGAGGAAGACTGGACAAGTGGCAAAGCTTAGAGTTACCCCTCTTGGTTTATGCACCCAGACCTGGACCATTAATCAATTACACTGTGATGCAGAAACCACCTTCTCGGGATCCCTGGGTGGCGCAGCGGTTTGGTGCCTGCCTTTGGCCCAGGGCGCGATCCTGGAGACCCAGGATCGAATCCCACGTCGGGCTCCCGGTGCATGGAGCCTGCTTCTCCCTCTGCCTATGTCTCTGCCTCTCTCTCTCTCTGTGACTATCATAAATAAATAAATAAAAATTAAAAAAAAAAAGAAAAAATAAACCTCCTTCTCTTACTTAATGACAATGCTCCAATTGCTCTCTGTGCCTCTGACTTGACCCATCTTCAGAGACAAATGAGGTATAATGGAAGAGCTTTCAGTTTTCTTTAGAGGCTAACTACCATTGTTGTCCTAGGTTCTGGGATACAAAGATAGGGTTCCTGCCCTCAAAAAAATTATTATTTTGTGGGGGAAAGATATATCTTTGAGTAATTACATCAAAACATAACTGTTTTGGTGGTATAAACTCAAGGTACTCCATGGGTATCTAGGAGGAAAGCCTAAGAGTTCCTGGCTTCACAGAGAAAGTGCTGGCACTTTTCAGAGATGATTTAATGTTCCACTAAGCTCAGTAGGATGAGATAGATGTAAATTCTTGGGACCTAACTTTTTCCCTTTGGATCTCAATATTCCAGTTAGTCCTGCATTTTCAAACCTTTTTCACTAGATTTGGCCTGATGCTTCATTGTGAATAAAGTCTAATTTTCATTCTAGGACTTTGCTTGTAAAACATTTTATAGTCTTTACCCCAGAGATTACAGTCATACTGAGGCAGAACATTGTAATTGGCCTACTGTTCCTCACTTAAACTTGGTGGCTGGCCCCATTTCTCTCACTAATGTTGACATTAATTGCTGGAAGGAGGGAAGTGATTTCTAAATGTAGGCTTACATGTTTCTTATTAGAAATAATAAACTTACAATGTTTTTCATGTGTTTCACTAGTATGGTCAGCTTCGCATCCTCATGTGATATCACTAACTGCACCTTAGGCATCTTGTCAGGAAACTTCTCACCTGCTAAAGCAATAGAATTTTGGTGGGTTAAATTGAAAGTGGTTCATCACAGTATAAATTAAACATTTAAAGACTAAAATGGAGTCAATGAATAATATGCAAAAGAAACATTCTTCAGGGATGCCTGGGTGGCTCAGGGGTTGAATGTCTACCTTTGGCTCAGGGCATGAACCCCGGAACCTGGGATAGAGTCCTGCATCGGGCTTCTTGCAGGGAGACTGATTCTCCCTTTGCTTTTCCTTTTGCTTGTGTCTCTGCCTCTCTCTCTCTGTGTCTCTCATGAATAAATTAAATGTTAAAAAAAAAAAGAAACATTCTTCAAATCACGCAGAAAACATAATATTCTTTAGGAAACTGAATTGGTTAAAGATGAGATTTGAGTCTAATCATCCTGAACCAACTCTTTCTCCTCATATTTTGTGTTTCTGATTGATTTTGTGTTTGTTTTGATTGATTTTTTTCCCAATTATTTAAGCTTGAAAACTTAGTGCCATTTCTGGCTCTAATTTTCTCAACCTTCAGTACCATTAAGCTTAAGTATTAGCATGAAGTGCTGGCTTTAAAAGTCAGTGAGCCTGGGGTTCAGGTCCCAGAACTATACTTAAGATTGTGTTATGTGTGTATAATTAACTTATGACTAAGATAATTGGCTTCTTTAAAATGGAGATGATAGTTACCTACTGCAGGGTATAGTTGAGATGATCAACTAATAAATTCAACAGTTTTCACAATGTAACCTCTCAGTTCATGTTTGCAATTAGTAATGTCTTCTCCATATATTTGCATTCATCTCTTCCTATCTATTTCCACAGCTCCTAGTTCAGACTCATATGAATCTCTTGTCTGAACTACTAGAACATTCTCTTCCCCTCTCCTAGAACCCCAACCCATTTATACACAATTACCAATATATTGCTCCTACAGCAACTTCTATAAAATTATTCTTTTGATCAAAGTACTGTTCATGGCTTTCCAGTACCTATGAAAAAAATCAGAATTTCTCAGATTTATATTGTTGCTCTTTTTTTTAAAGATTTTTAAACTTATTCATGAGAGACACACACACAGAGAGAGAGGGGCAGAGAGAGAAGCAGGCTCCATACAGGGAGCCCAATGTAGGACTTGATCCTGGGCCCTCCGGATCACACCCTGACCCAAAGGCAGATGCTCAAACGCTGAGCCACCCAGGTGTCCCAGTATATTGTTGCTTCTTATTGAATCTTTCTGTTTTTTTTTTTATTTCCCACTGTTATTATTCCATGCTGTAGTCTGTATGTTCAGTTCTACAAACATGCTCTGCTATTTCCTTCCAGTCATTGTTCATATTAGTCTCTTTATTTGAAATGACCTCTTTTACCATTTTTCCTATTGAACCTTTATCTTTCTAGAGGCCTAATTAAGATGCAAAATAGTTTCTGTGGTCACCTCCCTTTGAACTCCCCTAGCACAGCCCTTATCACTTAATAGTTGTATCAAAATTACTATCTGATGTGCCTCAATTTGTTTAGTGGATTATAATCTCCCTCAAGGCTTACTTTTTGCACTATATACCCAAGGAATATATAAATCAGTGCTTGCTCCATAATGTCAAACTAAACATCTATTTAATAATAAGAGTAGTCTTATTTTTTCTCAAGTTATATCATTCCATTATTGGAATGAAGGCTTTAGTTTTTAATTAAAATTTTTTGTTTTATACAGATTAAGCATAATTTGTAGTTTTTCTGATATTTCCATTGGCTATCTCTGGTTGTATATTCTCTGAGGGAAATTAGAAATTTATTAATAACAGGAATTTGGCAATGTTCTACTATGGGCTCATTGTGGTCCACATTGTTTTCTGAGAGTAAGTTTCAGCTCTCCAATTCTCTCCAACTTTTGATAAGAAAACCTGACTGGTATGTTTCCTTTTCCAAAGATTTTTACATGTTTGTCATAGTAGTTTACACATTACCTGTAGGTAATATTTACTAATGTTCTTGTTAATGTGGATTATTGACATTGTGATAATTACAATTGGCATTGTTTCTTATAATTGAAATGGTAATTACATAAAAATAATAATAATATTCTTCCTTAAAATATTTTTATTTGATTACAATGACTGAGAGATATTGTTGAGTTAGAGATACTATGAGATAATTTACCTCAGATAGTACTGAGGTAAATTGAATTCATAGTAAAAAAAAAATGTAATTGGATTTTGGTATGAGAATGGTAAAAATGCTGATGACTTTTTGATGCACAACGAACATTATTTTTTAATTAAAGAGTGAAAAGATTACTACATAGAAACTCAATGTATTTAATCAGAGGAGTTTTAATTCAAAAGTAAGAAATTAGCATAAGTTTATGATTGAGTGTCTAAATAGTAACTATAACTGTTAAACTAACCAAAGTGATATTCTACTCTGAAACTCTAGTGACAGATTAGTAAGCCAGTATCTGTCAATATAGGCAGAGCTCCGAACTCAGGGAAAATTCAGGCCTCCAGGAAGTTTTAGTAGTCAATGCGGTAATCGTAGAGGTACTTAGTATTTCTAAAACTTTTACTGCATGCGTAACATTGGGTTAAGAGCTTTATAACTCAATCCTCATAGCAAATCTATAAAGTTTTTGTTACTTCTGTTTTACACATGAGGAGCCAAAGGCATTTGGTTAAAGGTCATGCAGATAATAAACCATGCAGGGTTAAATGATCTCTAAAGTCTGTGTTCTTAAACACCATGCTGTAAAGAGGCAAAGAAGGGGCAATAATCTAAGGGAAAGAGTTTAAATGAATCCAAAAAGGGAGAATTTTGAGAATCGTTTCATATGGACAGGAAGATGCTAGAATATTTTGATTTTCTGCTTCAAGTTAGTCTGGAGAATCTGATTATGTTTAATCCAACCATTTATAATAACCTTAAGAGCTGTTGAAATATTAGTGATCCAAGGATGATTGTGTTGAAATGTTTGAATGCATGACACTATAGCAGCTAATACAGCACTTATGCACAATGTGTCCATGAATGTTAAAAAAAGTAGCATTTCCAAATATTTTTTCAGATGATAATATATTCATATAACTAAAAAATAAAAATTTATTTAAAAAATATACAGTAATACCTATTCATTCCTAATACCTATCCATTCCTAAAACCTATGCACCCAGTTCCTCTACCATTTATCCCTCCAGGGGAACACATTCTTCCATAGCTTCTCCATATAAGCAAATATGAATAAGTACTTTTATTGCCCCCTCCCACTATTTCACAAAAGAAACAGCATATTTACTATTCTGCACAAACATCTTGGAGAAATTTCTATAATATACAAGGTTTCTTTATTTTTTAAAAAATACACTCGTATATTATTCCATTATGTGAAATGCCATAATTTATTTAACCACTTCTCCACTGATGGGTATATGGGTTGTTTCTAATATTTTTCAGCTGTTACAAATCATGCTGTAATAAACAGTTTTGTATGCATATCATTTTTGTACCTGTGCACAAATATTATAGGATAAATTTCCAGCAGCAGAATTGCTGGTGGAAGGGTATTAGCATTTGTAATTTTGATTAATGTTGCCAAATCACCTTTCATGAAGGTTGTACCAATTTGCATTACCATCATCAGTGTAGAGTGCTGGCTGATTTGTAACCAAGCTTATTAATTAAATTTTTGAATTTTTGCCAATCTGATGAGTTAAAAATGGTATCAGTGTAATTTTAATTTGCATTTTTATTATGAGTGAGTTTGCGGATCCTTTCTTCTGCTGAAGAGCCTTTGTATTTTTGTGTGCCTATTGTCTTTTAAATTCTTTACACAATATTCTATTTGGTTGTTGGTCTTTTTCTTATCAATCTCTAGGAGTTGGTTATATATTTGATGACCACTGTTTGTGATAAATTGCAAATATCTCAACCATTCTGTAATTTATCTTTGAATTTTTAAAAACTCTGTTATAGTTTTTTTATATACAGCAAAATTATTATGGCTTCTGGATTTTTAGTCATAACTATACTAGCTCATCCTCAGACTATAAAGGATTTTTTCCTGTTTTCTTTGTCAAATATATGACTTTGTTATTTACATTTAAAGTCTTTCGTCCATTTGGTATTATACTGGCACATGGTGTGAAATATGCTCTCTCAGCACTATTGACTGAATTTTCTCTTAGTGGTCTGGCCACATATTAAATCCCTGACTATATTTGACTCTATTTATGGACATTCTACTATGTTCTATTTATTCTTTTTTTGGGGGCCAACGCCACAGTATTTCAATTATTTAGGGCTCTGTAATATGTTTTATATATATGGTAGGGCTAATCTTACTTCATGCTTTTGTTAAAATTTCCTGGCCTTTGTCTATTTTTATGAACTGTAGAATTAACTTATCTATTTAAAAATAAATCCATTAATATTTTTAAAAACTATATTCAAAGTTAAATCAGAAATATCTGACATTTTTATGATGTAGAATCTTCCTTTATGAGAGCATACTATGTCTTTCCATTTGTTCAAGGCATTTTTGAAATTCCTCAATAATGTTTTGAAGTTTTCTTTTTTTTTAATTTTTATTTATTTCATGATAGTCACACACACATAGAGAGAGAGAGAGGCAGAGACATAGGCAGAGGGAGAAGCCCTACGTGGGATTCGATCCGGGGTCTCCAGAATCGCGCCCTGGGCCAAAGGCAGGCGCCAAACCGCTGCGCCACCCAGGGATCCCTGAAATTTTCTTCATTTGATCTTGCACACTTCTATTAAATTTATTCCTAGGTATTTTTTTTCCCTGCTATTCCAAATAGGATCTTTCTTCTATCTTTCTTTTACTCTTATTCTTTTATCTACATTCTATTGCGTATATTTATATGCAATAGATAGCTTTGTATCAATTTGGTACCTTCTACCTTTATTAGATCTTCATAATTTGTGATAGATTCTTAAATTGATTCTTATTTCTCCAGGCATGTAATGGTATTACTGGTAGACATTGTTCATCAGGTCTTCTAA